GAGCCAGGAGTTAGGAAAACAAAATAAGCTTTAAATTAAGAAGGAAAGTAGGTGAACCGAGGGTGTTTGCTGAACTTCTTCTCACATTTGCATTCTTTTCCCTGGGAGGACAGAGAGACATTTAAAATACAGCTCCTGGGCTACTTCACATCAGAGAGGCGATGCAAGGATATGGCAACCAAAACCTGAAAATCCCAAATATCACTTTGATGATCGTGGTCACTTGATTGGGAAGAACATGGCAGGGTTGATCAAAACAACAAAAGCAGCCTGGGCCTTATAAAGCATGACCTACAAAAATGCAAGGGCGTATGGTAGTTTCCAATAAATAGCTGCTGAACTATTATATTTGTTTTAAAATATGAAAATATATACTCAAGCTATTTACTTTTTTATTAGATTAATGTTAAAAAGAACTTTGATTATGTGAAACAAAGTAAAAGAAGAAAGGAAAATGATGATGCTTGCCCAACTATAAAATAACTCAAATGAACAAAATGTAAAATTTAAGAAATGGCTACATTTTAAAGAAGAGTTTACTAAGGAATATAAAACAATTTTGAAACCGAATCAATTACCTGTGAGACAGCCCATATATATGTGCATGTATGTGTGTATATATATAAAATATAAATGTAAGTAGTCAGTAATTTTTTTTTTTTTGGAAAGAAAGACTTCTAGCTTCTGCTGTGAAGTCTAGAATTTTCTGATTAGAATCTCAGGAAAACAGACCTTCCAGAACAATTTTTTATGATTTTTACAGCCAGGTTAGAAACACTTTCAGATTGCTTTAGATTCAGGAAACCACAGACTTCAAATACTGTTTGAGAAATGAGAAAGTATAAGAAAGTATAACTGCATGTCTATTTTAGCAATTGAAGCCCCCAAAGCCATTTAAGACCACTTGGTTTGGTTCCATACATACTGGGGAGTAGGGGAGGGGGACAATATGTGAAGGCAGATGCCCAGAGACAAGTGAGCCAGCCCCTCAGGCAGTTGAAATGGCTCTCCCTTCTTCTCGGAGAGTGCAGATTAGCTCTTAAGACCCTGAGGCAAAAGGCACACGAATAGGGATTTGCACTTCATTCTTCCCCTCCAACCACCTGGTCAGGAGAGCGGGTACAAGAGGCTGACCAGCGCAGCCAGCCAGGGAACAAAGCTGTGGAAAGACTTCTGAGGAAGCAGCAAATTAGTTTCTGTAACCTTTACTGGACTATTAAAATGCGTCATTTATCTTCCTTAATAGCCTGGACAATAACGTAGCAATGAGTCCTCTCTCATCTCAGCAAGTGTCGAAACAGAAATAAAGACATTAACTATTTTTTCTTAAGTATAACCAGGGAAATTGATAATGAATGAGTGGTCTCACATACAACTGACTTGGTTTCAAAATTGCTTTGTGTTCCTCAGTAAACCCCACGGTACAAATTAGCCATTTCTTAAAATTTACATTTAGTCCACTTAAAAGAGTTATTTTATAATCGGGCAAGCTTCAACTATTTCCTTCATTATTAAGCTTTGTTTCATATAATTGAAGTTTTCTAACATTAATTTAAAAAAATAAGCAGCCTAACTGCTTGAGTGTAGTCTCCTTCTCCCTCCCTGGCCCTTTCTTTGGATTCTGTACTGATTTTATCTTAAAAAGTCTAAACTGAAAAAAAAAAAAAACAAGTATCAGTGATCTCGTCTCTCCTTTTCCCCTTCTCTCCACTTGGGCCATAAGGTGGCTTCCTATACACTGTCCTGTAGCTCCCCTGAGACGCCATTCAAATATGGTCTAGCTCTGATCACGTTAAGATTCTTTAAAAATAATATGTGGACCTACAGACTGCTGGAATGGAAAACACAATGGAGATCATACAGCAGGGCAACAGTCCAAAGTCACAGAGCTCAGAATGAAAAAAGGCAGAGCTAGAACCCAGCCTTCCTAACTTCCAGCCCAGTTTTCATCTCCGCCACACACTAACTTCCCTGCTCAACATGGCCTTGCTCCACGGTCAGATACCATGAACTAGAGCAGCCAAAGCCTCCATCGCTAAAGCTGAGAAAGGAAAGTAGGTTAAAAAAAAAAAAAAAAAAAAGGTGACCCAAGCAGAGAGCAGCAGCTGTGGCAGTGACACTGGGCTGGGAGCTGGGCTTTCCCGCTGACTCATCATGTTACTGTGTCCGAACCACTTAACCTCTCAGCGCCTTCTTGGGTCTCAAAGGCTGCTTCTGCTCTCGCATCTTACGGAACTAGGAGATAGTTCTGACCTGCAGGTGTGAAGTCTGGCTTCCACAAATGTGGCTTTGACAGAAACAAGGACATTTTCTAAGGCCAGGTTTCTTAGATCCAGGATCATCTTGATTCCCCCGTCACCCACACAGCAGTTGTGTCGACTCTTCCACGTGGCACAGAATCACGTCGCATCTCCACTGCCACCTTTCTCAAGGTCAGAGCCCTCCCAATGGCCGACAGGGCCCTGTGGGGTGACTGCCATGACCTCTCTTACCTCATCACCCGCTCTCCCCTTCCTGGACTGCCCTCCGACCACACGGTCTTCCTGCTGCTCCTCCCACGGGACAGCCCCGGACCGACCTCAGGGCTTGTCCACTTGCTGTTTCCATGTCTTCACTTCCTTCAGGTCTCTGCTCAAATATCACCTCCTCAGAGAGGCCTTCTTCAGCCATTCAATACAAAGATTACCCACCCAACCCACGTATTCTCCATCGCTTCTGTTTTTTCATAACACTTACTACTACCAGTCTATTTTTAATTGTCATTTCCCTCTTTACCCTTGAGAATGTAAGCTTCGTGAGGACACGTGCTGGTCGACCACTCCAGAAAAAGAAAATGCGTTAAGAGGATTCCAGGAGGCTGGCAAATGCCCCTTTACTGCTTTTCAGGTGGGATTCAAACTACCCCACCACCTTCTAAGCAAAGATGCTTCTTCCTGATTTCTGCACAAATCAGTCCACTTCCTCCTATTTCCAGAACCTAACAATATTTGTCCCTTCCATTCAGTGGGCCCTTGATATTTTCAGAGAAGGGCTCTTAGAATGAAACATGCTCTGAAAGGCTTTTTGGCAGTTATTGAGCAAACACTGACGTCAGCAGAGTGACTCATCAATGCTGTGTTCCAGTCTCTCGACAAGTTGGGTTACACATGCCATGTGTGATCACTGGAGCTACTTCGTTTAAACTTTTCAGGCTGGAGTGTGGCAATGAGTGAGGCAAGCCACAGGCGCCAAGTGGTTGATTATATTTTCATTGCTAATTAGAGCCAGTTCTGCATGATCTTCTCACAGTGGAAATAACATCTAGCCACTGGAGAGTTCTCCCAATTTCCCTTTCAGTTCTCCCAAGGTCAGTGTGACCCCTTCTGGGTAAAAGGAGCCATTCTACTGTATTATCCCATTCTTTAGCAATTATAAGAAAGTTGTTCTCAGGCTTTGTGTAAGAGGAAAACTACATTTCTGCCCAGCCAGCCATTCATAAACTGGGCTTTCTTAATCCCTTGTTCCCCGAATTGCCGATCCTAAACCTGGAAGGCAGGAAGTGCTGACTCCGAGTAATTCCTTCAGCAGCACCCCCCTCCACTGCCCCGCTATGCACTCCTGTCAGGCTTAAGGTCCTCTTTCCTTTTTCTGCCCTCTTTTGAATAAAACTACTAAACCTAGGACACCAAACAGGAGATGCTGGCAGAGGCCACAGTGTAGTGGAAACCATTGCTTAAAATAGCATGAGAACGTTAACATCGGGGTCTGTGTCTAAGAAAAGCTCCCTGACATGCTTAATCATCCAGAGAGGGAAAAGACTCTTTGATGATGTCATGAATAACTGACTGCAAACCTGGAGCCTCATAAGGCCATGGAGTCAGGTCTTCAATCTTTAATCTACAGATTTTTAGGAGGAAACAAATTCAGCCCAACGCCCCAGACGACCCCTCTCATAGGAAGTGGAAAGGGATCTTCTTTCACTTGGAAGACGACAAATGTTACGTTCCTTTTTCATTAAACACTTTCCTTGGTAGCACCCTGCAGCCCCCCCCACACTGCTCTTTCAGCCTCACCGACAGATGTCCACCAACTGGTCCAGCTCAGGGCAGCTACACTCATACATGTCCCGGCAGCTCACGTGGCTCTGGTTCATTAACTCCCCCAGCAGCTGGACCATGTTGTCAGGTGCTTCTTCACATATCTTCTTAAACTGGAGCACTCGCGCTGCCTCGCTGTACACGTGCTTGGCCCGCTGGTAGAGCTTGAAGACGAGCACTTAGGAAGGAAGGGGATGGTGAACAAGGTCAGAAATCGTTACTGGAGAATTTAGTGCAAAGAAAAATATAGTTATTGAGAACCTCCATTTCTGCCTTTATTATTAATGCCTTAGACTTTAAATAGGGCTCTCTTTCACAGAAGGAATTCTTTATAGTCTAAATTGATCTCTTTTCAAGTCAATTTTACTTTTTTTGATACTAAATACATCTTGTAAGTATATTTTCGTCGTTTTATTCCACATACACAGACGTCTGCCCACACGGGCATGCAGACTGGCTCATCCTGCAGGAAGGGAGAGGTCACACGTACTGAGCACAGCCGGTGTTTCAGGTACTTTAAAGGCACCATCTCATGTCGTTCTCGTCACAGCAGTGGGGATGGGCAGTGTGACCCCTGTGACCCTTTTCAACAGATAAGAGAATGAGGCTCAGCAGAGTGAAGTAACGTGCCTAAGGCCACACACCCAGAAAGCGGCAGAAGCAGAACAGATTAGATTCTGAGCCCAGAACCACATCGTTTCCACTGCGATTCACCAGAAAGAACCACTGACAGTGTTTATGCTAGCAATTTATTTATAAAAATGCATCCCAGAGATAAGCACAGTTATTTATACGTGTACGTCTGTGGAAAAGCAGTTATTTCTATGTATGTATATACTGTAGAATTATTCCCCATAGGAGAAAACAAGGAGCAATGCAGATGTCTAACAACAGGAAACTTTAAAATATTATGACACGTCTATTAAAAATTATTACTGCTGCTAAAACTCAGATAATTTACTACATGGAAAATTGTTAATTATGAAGTGAAAAAACAAACCATAAAACTATATATATATATATGTACATTTTAATTTTTAAAAATTATAAGCAAGCACCAAAATGTTAACAGTCATGATCTCTGTGGTACATGATGGGTGATTTTATTTTCTTGTTGACACTCTCCTGTACTTTCCAGATTATTCGCCGTGATTCTAACTTCAGGGCAGAAACACGTCCTCCTGCAGGGGCTGTGTCTGCAGTGCTTACACATTCCCTTGCGTCCTGACTGAGACCGCCCTACCATTTCACCCATGCTGCACAGTGGCTGAGCTGGTGTGGTGCTTTGGGGGAAATTCTGGAAAATACATGGAAGCTACCTGGCCTGCCGGAAAGAGCCGGGGCTCAGAATCCCAAGGGCTGTGATTTCCTCTTGGCTGTGTGACAGCTAGCTGTACCCAAGTTGCTACTTCAATGAGGTTGAAAATTATTCCTCAGGATCCTTCTGGCTCTAACATTTTACGACTCTATGAAGAACTTCCTCCAAGCATTCCCCTCGTATTGTTATATTTTGGAAAGAGGATGGTAACTGTGATGGTTACCTTCTGGTTGTATCCCCAGTTTTACTGTCTGCCCTTCTCCACCCCGCTTTCTGTCCCAGAAGGCTGAGCTTGCAGGGTGCACCTTACCTCTGGAGACTGGAGAAAGGGGGCTGATCAGCAAGAGATCTGGGGGAAGAGAGCCAGGTCATAGAGTTTTTCTTCTTCCGGCTCCCTCCTTGCAGAGCCACCTGGAGCTGGCTCTGTTCCGCCACTGAAGGACACTGAACAGCCTTTCAAGGTCGCCTTCTCTCCATGACTCTCTTCTCCAGGGTCTGCCTCCAGGTTCCTCTCCCCTAGACTATTACTACTTTTTCAGAAGTGCTTTTACATTCCACTTATGAACCAGTAAATTATGTTAAAGTTTCAGGTGACATTTTTTCCTGCTCCACAGCTCTGTCCTCCTAACTCTGAGAGATGGATAAAAAGGCAGCCACAATGAGAGGCAGGGTCTAGCCATTCTCCAGATTTGTGTAAAAGTTTAGTAATTATAAGGGTGTGGCTAACTTTCTTATAAATTAATAAAATATGAAAAGCTCTTTCAAAGGTTCTCAAGTCGACTATCTTAGGTTTGCTAAACTTACAGTTAACTGCTTGCATCAATGAAATCGTGCAAATTCACATAAATTGTCCTGTTCTCTTTCAAAGAAGACCTAAATCTAGCCACTAAAATCTAATCAGTTCTTCACTCACAGTGTATCGTATAGTCATCCCTCCCTTCTATCCCCACTGTCATCACCCAAACTAGCACTTGTATTCCCTTTCCCACTTGAACTAGTCTGCAGTGATCTCCAAACTGATACTCCTGTCTGCTCCCTGCAACCCACCTTGAGGTTGCACCATCAGATGGAGCCCCTAACACACAGCTTTACTCACGTTACTGCCCCAAACCTTTACTGCTTCCCCGGTGTTTACCACAATCCAACTTCCTGCACTCACCATGCTCAGTCCCAGCAGGAACTCTTCCCTTCAGCCAAACACTCCTTGCTTCTGGGCACACTCATTAGTCCACACTGGAGCAGCTTCTTGCCCCTTCTCTCCCTGTCCAAATTCTACCTCTTTCTGAAGGTTCCATTTAAATTTCACATGCTCCATGAAGCCGTGATGGGCCCAGCTGGAAACATCCCTTGACTCAATTTATACCACATTTGCAGTCAGTCCATGGCACTCATTTGGTGCTTATCACATACTTCCGTGGTAGCTGTCTCTCTGTCTTGGCAAAGTTTGCCAAATGCTGACGACAGAAGCCAGGCCTTCTGGTTCCATTCATTTCATACTGCAGCCCTTCACCCCACAGCACTTTCCCCAGTGCCTTATGTGGCAGGTGCTCAGTGGGTGTTCACTGTTAACGATGATGTGACTAGGACTCTATTTTTAACCCCAGTTCAAATCAAGATACCTCCATTTAGGCATTGCTGCTAAAAAAAAAAAAAAGTGAGGCACCAGTACTCACAGCTTACCAAAAATGTTGAGGCTGAGGAAAGGGGACAGCAAGATTCCCTTTGGCATTGATTCTACAACTACTGACACCAAGTGTAGAAGAAAAACAGAAAAAAAAAAAAAGAACAACAACAACTTACAAGTTAAACGTAGGAATAAAAAAAAAATACAGCAACATGATTTGTTCCATCAGTAGCCAGGTCATGTGAATCTGCACACACTGCAGTAGAAATTTGTTATTTCCATTCCAAGTTCAATAGAAATAGGAATATGATTCCTTTTAGGGTCTGGGTATCAAAATATCCCAAGGTGAAAAAAGTCTTACCAACAGCCAATACCAGCACATGCCATCAGCAAAACACTCTCTGAAGAAACAGCACAGGGAGATTTAACGAAACTCCTCCTCACAGTCCCTGACTAGAGAA